ATATATAATGTTATTTATATAATATTATAATATACAATTTACTTTCCACTGTAGGATTATATCTTGGTTAATGGTATATTAAAGTGTATTCTAAATTATTCCTTTATACTTTATCTATCTATCCAGCAATCTATCTGTGAATCTATCCGTGTATCTATCTATCTATATCAAAAATGTGAAATATTTGCTACATATTGGCCATCATTTGAGACACTATATCTATCTGACAGAATCACACAAACACTCCACATAATATCAGTACAATTCGTTTTGAACTGGTAGTATTTGTTTCTTTTAAACATGACATGGGATCCACGGCAAACATAAAAACTGTTTCAACTTTAAAACTGTTTGCGGCTACCTGTCATAACTTAAAAATAAAAATGTTTAGAGCTGATTTCACTTGCAAGATCCTTCTCTTAAAATACAAAAAATATTACATTTTTTCATACTTTTTTCTGACTTTATTCTGATTCCCTGATTTTATTTTAAATGAATTTGCTCTCCTTTTCTGTCAGACTTTCCTCTGGGGGAAACCAGCAGCTTTAAAACATGTCTTGTGACTCCCACCACTCTGGGGAATAATCAGTGACATGTTGCACTCATGTGATTGCTAACTGGATTTTCAACCCAAGGAGGAACAATGAGTGCATTTACAAACAGTGACATCTGAAAACAGTTAGCTTCACAGTTAATGCAAATGTGCCTATCCAGATCCTATAACTCGAGTGTGTCGCTTGGTCCAAATGTCTTTCCCCTCCAGTGAAAATATGTAAAAGGCAGCTTATTGTTCGCTCCACGTGGGATGGACCATGAGTCCGATTTGTTTTAGACAGTAAAGGAGTCTACATGGGCTACCTTCCTGTCACACAGCATCAAGCTCTAACCACATCGCCATTCAAAACCAAAGCAGAGCAATTAGTTGCTTTTATCTTGAACCCTGCTGACATTCCACCAGGACCCCCAAATCCTTTCTGATCCATTTCACTTGTGCTGATGAGGCTTTTGTTGTGTGAAGTCCCTTGTCACTACAATATTCAGGACAAATCCCACATACAAGTTTTAAAGCCACCGACTATAAACAATGATGTGCTCAGAATTCACTGAAATTGACCAGGTCAGATGTCTTCGCCTACAGTTATCATTATACCTTTTCCTATGGCTGCTGGGATCTGAACCGGCCGTGTAATTGTAGCAGCACTGGAACACATTTGCTCTGATGTGGTTGCTCACTAAGCTGTGGGTCAGGAGACCAGGACCATGTGATTCCAGTACAAAAGGCATGAATAAATGGCATACATCTGAACTGAGACAAATACTTTGTCCAATGCTTTGTGAAACTGGTATAAGTGCTCATTTCTTGAATCAGGATGGAGACATATTTAGATAAACCAGAGCAATATACTTTGTTTGTAGGAAATTTGAGGGAAAATGGGTCATACATATATTTTACATCTTTTCTGTGACCTCATTAGCAACCTAGTAAGTATTATTTCCATTTCCACACAATCATCTTTTGTTTTGAACGACTATTCCTTCAGAACATTCAGCATTTTGGAATGAATGTTGTTTATTGTTCCAAGACTTGTCTTAAGTCTTGTTAATTGGCTTGTTGTGACACAATCTGATCCCTCAGTATCTAATTCTTCTAGGTTTTTGTTACTAAGTGCTCACAGGCAGCTCTTAATGAGGCAGCTGGTTGCTGACTGGATTTGGGTTTTAATTGCTGTGGTTAATGAGTTTAAGTAAGCTGAAATAACTAGGACATGCTCACCAAACCCTTGTGGAAATGCTGCTTTGTTTTCCCAGGCTATATTTAACAGCGGCCCACGTGCAATTTTTACCGGAGCAGAACCAAAAGGGCCAAGTTAGTGGGATGTTGAGCTTTTCTCTCTGTCTTTCTGATCCATCAAGCACCAACCTCTCTTGTCTTTTTCACTCTGATATACAGTGAGGCTCAAACTGCTCACTTCAGCCATAAAAGGAGAGCTTATTAAACCATTTCACATGAGGGAGGTTTTAAATGGATGCCTACAACTTTGTGCTTGTTAACTCCATCTCAGCTTCTAACTCACCTAATGCCTTCCCCTAGTTATTAAAGCGCTCCCAGGAAACCGTTAATGACTTCAATAATTTTAACTGAATTACTCAATTAAATCCAGCATGAACAAACAATGTGATTTATTTTAAATGTATCTAAATAGATCATATTTGACTTTTTCCTACCCAAACAGATGTCTATTGGTATTCCCACAGTTTACATTTGTGAATATCAGCCAGCAGGCTAAATTAGATTTTTTTTAAACAGTAATATCCATTTCAAGCCAGCAGGGAGGATATTTATTATATAGAATTACAGATGTTTCATAAATGTAAAAAGAACAAAATGAAAAAAGCAAGAGAATATTTAATAGCTGGACTCCTGCATTTTCCTTTCATCCACAGAAACATGGTGGATGGAAATAGAGATTAACTGCAATTAGCATTGACTGACCTTGCCCCCAACTGGAGACCAGTCATTTCTTAACAAGGCGCCTTCCAAAAGAATGCCTGCATCCAATTCTCCCAATTATGCAAATTAGGTTGAAATCAAAGTAGTTGGAGGGGGTGAAAATGTTTCAAATAAAAAATTGGGGAACCTCTAAACGAGGCTGCAGTGTTTTAGGGTTAGCAAATCTGCTCCGTCTTCACACACAAGCTAAGATCTTCCACACTGTGAAGTGAACACAAAGAAAGGAGTTTCAACAAATTGGGAGATTAGGGGCCGGTTATCAAAGTAGATTTATTGTGCCTTGTTCAAGCGAAGGATGAAAATACCCTGTGGGCATGTAGAAGGGGTCATGGGACTCCCAAAAGGATTACCTTGAAATGGAGTCATGAGACTTGGGCGAACAAAGAGCCTGCTCACATGCTCATCATATTAGCTGGCCCTCATAAAGTGAAGAAGTTTCATGTCCTTTGGGATTCAGTGGAGCACTTCACTGGGAGAGCAGCAGCAACAGACCTCCTCTCTGCTCTCTGGGTTTTACCTCCAGCAGCACTACTGATAGGCCCCTGCACCTCGGACTCTGTGTAAGTGTATCTACATTCTGCAGCTCTTTTAAAACTTAAATTTGCTTTTTTTCATTTTTCCTTTTCTTGTGGATGTGAATTCAGATGTGGTGATTTAGAGTTTAAGTTCTGGTTTCTTAATGACTCATGATAGCAGTGAGATGGAAAAACTGCTGAAACAAGACAGACAGCAACATCCACTCTCTGACTTGTACTTTTATAAATACATCCAAGGCGTTCAAATTATTTTTGCAAAAGGCGACAAAGGTAAAGTGTTATAATAATAATTAGTACGCTATTCTAATTTTCATCGAGACTGTGTACATTGCACTAGCAAACGTTACAAGGGAGCAGAACGTTTTTTTAATATATATTTATATGTGTGAAGCAAAGGGGGAAACGGATAAAAACATTTAAGAACAGTAGCTGTTCTGTTCCAGTTCTTATCAATAATAGCACACAGTATCCGGTATATTGAAATGCTTTGAATTTGTATGAGGTTTTTACTATTTACCTTCCAAGTGTTTTTTTGGAAAGATGTCCTTCCAATGTTTCAGTTTTAATTGGGCCTCCACCGTCAACAATGGCCCTCAGAGGAACTCAGCTTTGAACTCGGGTTATTTTTGCACAGCGCTGAAACATCAGACAGCAATCAGAGCAGGATATGACAAAGTGCGTGGGCATAGTATTTCAGTGCGTTGCTTATCGCTGGCCGCATATCAAGCTTGGGCAGACAATGTGTCGGTCAACATGAACTGTGCCCTCATAATCAAAGTTTCAGAAAGGGTTTTTCCGGTTGATTCCAGTGGACATGCAATATAAACTGTATTTCAAAGTGAACATTCTTACTTCAATTTATATTTTCTGCAACTTCACTTGGTCTGTTTTACAGGGTTCTTATACTCTTCATCTCTTAGCTGGGATTACAACTAAAAGGATTTTTATCGTGAATTTTAAATTGGTAATCTGCCTGCATGATCTCCTTGTGACTTTGGTATGACACCATGTGAACTCACATTTTTATTTTATTTCTTCTCTTTTTTCTTTGTAGTTCGCAAAAGCTTGGATTGAGAGGACCTTTTCTAAAAGAGAATGTGTTCACAAATTTCCCACCAAGGACCCAAACAGGTAATTTTCTCTCTTTAAATTGTCCTTAAAATATTTAGTTGATACTTGGTCTTGGTCTTACGTTTAAAAAGCAGCTCATTATCAAATGATAGCAAAATATGCTACAATATATTTTACTGCTTGAGAGATCTTACTACAAACATTTTCCATTTTAGTCAAATGTATTTCAAATGTGAATGCCATACAAGGCTTTAAAATGTTTTATTTTTTATATTAAATACAATGAAGGGACACTTGTTGATACAATTTGTACTAGTCTTTATCGTGTTATAAAAGTTCCAAATTCACTATGAGTAACATTTAAGGGTTTGAAATAATTCATCTTGTTATCTGTTAGTTTGCTGAATCATGCCGCCAGGTTTTGGGGCATTTATCAGGATGATTAAAACTGAATTTTCCGAGTCCGTTGTTGGACGTGTTAATTACCCAGGGCCCCAAGAGCAGCCAGGCAGTGCAGGCCTTTGTTCACTGAGGCATTGATTTCCCAGAAATAGCCACATTCATAAAAGAGCCTGCGATGTGTTTCGAGGAAAGAAATGGCCTTCATAAGTAGACTAAACAATACTTGGCAAAGGTTACTAATTACAGTTCAACACTGAATAGTGTACTGCTCAAGAATTTATATGAATGATCATCACCAGGAAATCAGGGCCTCACATTAAACAGACTAACATGTTCTCTAAATGATGCTTGCTTTGTGATCTATTCAGATGTGCCTGTGGTCAGCTGACAACGCAGCACGTGGCCATCCCCGCTGGGGCCAACTCGCTGGAGGAAGCAAACCAGCTGGTGCAGATTGAAGCCCAGAAGGATAAATGGAACGTGGTAAAACACACCCGGACTTACCCGACGGACTCCTTTGGCACAGTGGAGTTCCAGGGTGGAGGATTCATCAACAAAGCCATGGTTAGTCTCAGCAACTGAAAACTTACTGCAAAGTGAATGTGTGTTTTTAATGGAAATAAGTCACAAAACTGTTTTTTTCTTTCATAGTATATCCGAGTTTCCTATGACACCAAGCCGGACAACATCCTGCATTTGATGGTGAGGGACTGGCAGTTGGAGCTGCCAACTTTGCTCATCTCCGTGCACGGAGGTCTGCAAAACTTCGACCTCTCGCCCAAACTCAAGCAAGTGTTTGGCAAAGGCCTGATAAAAGCCGCCGTCACCACCGGGGCTTGGATCATCACGGGGGGAGTCAACACTGGTAAGACACTGACATTTCAAGATAATGCTTTTAACTTTCACTTAATAAAATAACAATTTGTGACATTAGAAGATTACCTTTGCCCTAAATTGTCATTGCACAATACCTATTTTGCATTTTGCTAGTGGAGATTTGATCAACCCATTGACATTGGTTTAATTACTGTAATTAGAGCTTTTGTCTGGGAAATTCATCACAAAGGACCATCCGTGAGAATCTGGTGTGAATTTAGCATGCAGTTACCCAACCACAGTGTGTCCTATGGAAAACTCATGATTTATTTGGCTCTTTTTACCTTAGGGGTGATGCGCCATGTTGGAGACGCCTTAAAGGACCATTCCTCCAAGTCACGTGGGAAGGTGTGCGCTATAGGAATAGCTCCATGGGGGATCCTGGAAAACAAGGAGGATCTCATTGGGAAAGATGTAAGAACACCAACTGCATTTAGTTTCCATTCTTACTAATATTTCTTCCTCTTAAAATTAATTTCTTGTCCTTTTTCCAGGTGACCAAACCCTATCAGACGATGGCGAACCCACTGAGTAAGCTGGCTGTGCTCAACAACAGCCACTCCCACTTCATCTTGACTGACAACGGCACCTGTGGGAAGTATGGCTCAGAGGTCAAACTTCGCCGGCTGCTGGAGAAGCACATCTCCTTGCAGAAGATCAACACACGTAAGTGTAATGTCAATAAACATCGTCCATGGTGTCCAAGGTGTATTTTGTTGGACATGTGGATGGAGAGCTCCTCTGTGGCCCGTGGGCTTCCCTTTGTCATCCTATGCCTGGAGCTCGGTTAAGGCAGGGACAGCAAAGGGATGCTCAAATGTCACCAAAGACTTCACTCCTACCCTCCTCTGGTTTTGTCTGTTTTCACATCACATCAACGTGTTCTGCTTTGTCCTCAATGTTATGTCATAAGGTGGCTCAGGGGTGTCAAACTCAAATACACAGTGGGCCAAAATTAAAAAATTGGTACTAGTCGAGGGCCGGACTGGTTCAATGTTTATTGCAGAACTTATTGAAATGAACTTATTGCACATATTAAACCTGGAACTAACAAAGCTTAAATTATTGCCTATCAACATTAAACATTAAATAATCAGTTGCATTCATTTCTTATGGCTCTATCTGCAGCTTTTCCAGAGTCATTTCTTATGATTACATTTTTCCACAGGCCAACAACAGCTTAAAAAAACAAACATGCCGTGTTGTCGTAAGAAAAAAGTAGCAAAACTCAGTTTGCTGCTCTGTGATGCTAGCTCAAGCCAGATATTTGGCATCTCATCTTGGGTGCAAGTTCATCAATGTTTGGGGTCAGGCTCTGAGCTGAGGAAATCCTCAGGATTGAGTGAAGGTGTGCGTGCAATATACCGGCGGGCCAGATCTAATAGTAATTACAAATTATCCTGTGGGCCGAAATTAAATCCACCAAGGGCCTGATTTGGCTCCCGGGCCTTGAGTTTGACACATGTGCTCTAAATGGTAAAAGGATACATAGGCTGAGTATTTTTGACTGTGTGTTGCAGGTTTGGGTCAGGGGGTTCCTCTAGTGTGTATGATAGTGGAGGGAGGTCCCAACGTGATCTCCATCGCTTTGGAGAGTCTGAGAGACGAGCCTCCTGTCCCCGTGGTGGTGTGTGACGGCAGCGGACGAGCTTCCGACATAATCTCCTTCGCACACAAGTATTCAGAGGAAGGAGGGTGAGATTTTAGATGATTTCTTCTTCGATGTACTAGGACATTATTCCTCTGGTAAAAAAAAAGCTGAAATATCCTCTTTGAATCTCATCTTCCAGCATGATTAATGACGATGCCAGAGAGCAACTTTTGGTAACTATTCAGAAGACTTTCAACTATAGCAAAAGCCAATCACAGCAGATCCTGCTCATGGTTACGGAGTGCATGAAGAAAAGGGAGCTGGTGAGTAGAAAGATGAAATAAAAATATAAGCTGTATTATCTTTAGGCTATTCTATAAGTATACTGTATATGAAAATCTGTGTCGATCAATAAACATTCCTGAGTTGTGAAACATCTGGTCTCCATCGTCCTTCATCCATTGCACTCATCTGTGTATTTCCCATTAACATATTGAATAAACATAATCCCCAAAACGTGCTTGTCATTTCTCCTTGTGATCATGTGTGGTATGTTCATGTAATCTGGGGCATTCGCAGCTTCACTGTGGGACATCATCAGCCCTCATGTATAAGCACACAGCTGTAAAGCGTTGGTGGGGGAATCTGCGGTTTACTATAATGTAAACAATGTAATATACGGCTCGAATATGAAGCAAACACTTTACTGAAAGTCTTCACATATATCAGATTTATCCCTGAGTGTTTCCAAAGTGTTTGCTGGAGACTTTGCACATACATAGTTTGCATAGTCAGCACGTTTGCATCTGCAGCAGATTTCAGTAAGTGTTGTGATTAGTGGTTTGTAATACCCAGCACATATAATCTCCACACTCCATACATTTGGGTGGGTAAAATCAGCTCACACTACCACCTGCTAAGCAGAGGCTCTTACTTCATCAAATCACAGTAAGCATGCAGCACACAGATGGAAAAGAGGATCCATCTCCCTAATCCTCAGCCAGGTTCCTCTCTCTCTCTCCACTCCCCAGGCTTTTTTCAGTCCCCAGAGTGCTATCACTTCACCAGCGACTCTTCATCCTCCATCCTCAATGTATTAGACTGCCTAATGCGCCAACACACTCAGATAATCAACTTAAACGGCTTTTTCAAAGATCATACTGCCGAGGGCATTTAGTTTCCACTGATACGTGACCCAGACAACCACGTTGTTTGAGCTCTATGCACGCATCCGAGAGGCCGCACTATGTTGCCTGCTCTTAATCTAAAGTGCCATGACTTACCTACAGGTGAAACAGTGTCACAGTCTAGTCCCCAAATAATCCTTTTTATCCTAAGTGCATCCAATGTGAACAGCTGGGTCAGATATATCAAAACTCTGATTCAGAGGGCTGACATTTGCAGTGATGTAACTCGTGGATGCAACATTTTCACCAAAGCAAGAAAAGAATCCCCATTTGCAAAAAGCCCACAGTGCACCCTGCCACTGTCTGAGCCAGAGGAAGCACGAGTTTCCAGAGTTACTGATGCTCATTATCAACGCATCCCGAGACCAGCCCTGAAATCTCTGGCGGTGTGCCTCGTATTCATGCAAACGTAATCCTATTTACCAGATGCACATGTGACAGGCCCGTCAGCGTAATTTCATTTGATATAGTCGAGTCTATCACAAGGAAAGCACTATCTCGCTGTCTGACAAGTAAAATTAGCTTTTTTTGCTCTAAGGGTCAGCCTGCAGTGAGAATCCCACCGAAAGAATCTCCTATCAGTTTAGCACAACATGTTTATGAGACTGGGAATGCAAATGAAATTGTCAATTTGTTCATGGATTCTGTTTGTCTTCAATTTATTCATCCATTACATATGGCTTCACGTGGCTTTTCCTTCCTTTCTTATATGTAGATCACAGTTTTTCGGATGGGTTCTGAGGGACAACAAGATATTGAAATGGCCATTCTTACTGCCTTGTTAAAAGGTACTATCTGGCTGCATCACATTTGAACATCACTTGTTCACACACTATCAAATCCCATAAATATTTAACTTACATGAACTAAATCCTTGCTATTCTCTCTCTACCTTTCTTTCTTTTACGTCAGGCACCAATGCTGCAGCAGCTGATCAGCTGGGCTTGGCTCTGGCCTGGAACAGAGTTGATATTGCTCGCAATCACATTTTTGTTTATGGACACAATTTGCCAGTAAGTGTTGCTCACATCTCAAAAGTGAAAATGATTCGCTCCAAATAAGATAACAAAGTTGGCAATAATGATTTTAGTACAGAAGGAAATCATTTGGTTTTGAAGGAGTTGCTCAAAGTCCCCCTCCACTCAAAAATGAATTTAGCTTATGGTTACTTGACTTAATGGGAAAAAACCCTTATCAGGTATACATTCTTGTTCAAAGAAGAGTATTTCAAAATGTCTTCAAAAATGTCTGGAGGGGATCTTGAAATAACAGTCTGTCCTCGACCTATAGCAGAACAGAAATATCTATTTTGGATTGTGTTGTGCTTCTATTCAAGTAATACTAATAGCATGAAAGAGAAATATTTATGCTAAACTTGATTAACTTACCTTACTTCCTGCTTGGTAAGCCTGCCGGTGCAATGGCCAGTGCTACCTCTTTAGCCTCCACCCAGGACAAGCAAAAGAGTCCTGCCAGAGCCCCTAAAAGCAAAGCCCGGGGAAAGAAGGGAAAGGGGAAGGGAAAATCAAAGCCTGAACTTCCAGAGGAAACAGATCCAAGGAAGTTGGAGATCATTCGCTGGGTAAGAGAGGGGTTTATGGAACAAATTGACATCAGTATATGAGGATAATATAAAGGTTGTGATGTGTAGGCTAAATAATAAGTCATATGTATTACTTTCCCTCAGGTGAACTCTCTGGAGCAGTCTATGATGGATGCTCTGGTGCTCGACAGAGTGGACTTTGTCAAACTGCTCATTGAAAACGGGGTCAATATTCACCACTTTGTCACAATTCCCAGACTGGAGGAGTTATACAACACGGTGGGCCGGAAACACTGCAGCAAATTAAAATTAGACAAAGTCAGAATCAAAAATACAGACCTTACAAATGCATGAAGGTCGACACTAATCACAAACAATCTTCTCTTCTCTCAGAAACTTGGCCCTATTAATTCACTCAATGGTGTGGTTAGGGACATCAAAAAGGAAAATGATCACTCCCATTAAATCTTCACTTTTTCTGCATAATTAACACTTCTTTAGGGTTATATATCATTTTTGATACACTCCCTAGATTATATATTACTCTGGTGATTTTGCAGGGAAACCTTCCTCCAGATTATCAGATCACTTTGATCGATATTGGTCTGGTGTTGGAGTGCTTTATGGGCGGAGCTTACAGGAGCAATTACACAAGGAAGGCCTTCCGCAACCTCTACAATAATTTATATGGACTTAAAAGGGTACGCATGAGTTGAAGAAAATAATTGATGATGGCACGTTTACCATATACAGTAACATTTTGGTATTTATGATCATGTTTTGTTCTCTTTTTGCAGCCAAAGGCTCTAAAGCTTCTAGGAATGGAGGTGCGGTACCCTTTCCACAAACAAAATACTGTCAAGTAGCAGAAACAATACAGCCCACACAGCAAAAATAATCTATCACATTGTGTTTTTTTGTTAGGATGATGAACCAAGGGGAAAGGGCAAGAAAAAGGGAAAAAAGAAGAAAGAGGAAGAGGTAGAAATTGATGTCGATGACCCAGAGATGTGTCGATTCAAGTTCCCCTTTCATGAGCTGATGCTATGGGCGGTGCTGATGAAGCGTCAGAAGATGGCGCTGTTTCTTTGGCAGCGTGGAGAAGAAGCTATGGCCAAAGCCCTGGTGGCCTGTAAACTGTATAAAGCCATGGCCCATGAGTGCTCTGAGAGTGAACTAGTGGATGACATCTCCCAAGACCTGGAAAACAACTCCAAGTCAGTACATCTCTAAACTAAACATCACCTCTAGTGTCACAAGCTGTTTACTATAAAGAAAACCACACGGGTGCATATTACTTTAGATTTAGATATATTGATTTATGGATCAACAATTAGGATATTCTGGTGTTAAATTATTGTTAATTGTAGCACCTTTACGTTGGGGTTCCTGTTCTCTACCCTGAAGAGTATAGGCTCATATTATAATAGTGTATGTGTCATGTAATTATTCTTATTAATTTCCACTTCTTTTTTGATTTCGACAAGTGCAATTTATAAATTAATATTATTGTTCTTTCTCTCTCATAGAGAATTTGGCCAGCTGGCTTACGAGCTGTTGGACCAGTCCTACAAGCATGATGAACAGGTGGCCATGAAACTCTTAACATATGAGCTGGTTAACTGGAGTAACTCCACCTGTCTAAAGTTGGCTGTGGCTGCTAAGCAACGTGATTTCATTGCCCACACCTGCTGCCAGATGTTGCTCACCGACATGTGGATGGGATGCCTGAGGATGGGCAAAAACCCTGGCCTTAAGGTGGGCATCGCAGATTGTTTTCCTTAAGGGCATTCCTTAAAAAAAACATAATAATAATTGTAGCATTCGCCTTACATTAGAGAGACATTCACTGTATCTAAACAATAAACTCACTGTGTCTTACAAAAACTGTGATCATTTTCTCACCTAGGTTATTCTGGGAATCGTCTTTCCTCCGCTGATTCTACTGTTGGACTTCCGTCTTGCAGAAGATGCATCCTATAATGCACCTGGCCAAGAACAGGGAAAAGACAAGGATGACGACGCAAAATCCACCAAGGTTCCCACTGACCTTGTCTAAATTGTTAATTTAAAAAAAACATATTGTTTATATTTTTTGTTAAGAGTGAACAATCATAACAGAAGGGTTTGCTGTTGTTTGTAGGACGGTAATGATACAACTTCCCGAAAGGGGGATGAAGAAGAGGACGCCACTCATGTCCGTAAAATCCCAATAGCAACTAGGATCTTTGAGTTTTATAATGCGCCATTCACCAAATTCTGGTTCAACACTGTAAGTTTCCTTTTTGCAAACAGTAAACTATATTATTCATTTTTTTGTATAGTGACTTAAGTGCACTTTAATGTTGGTATTTCTTCTTCTAAAAGATTTGCTATTTGGGCTATTTGATGTTGTACAACTACATAATCCTGGTGAAAATGGAGCGATGGCCATCCTTACAAGAGTGGACTGTCATCGCATACATCGTCACACTTGGCTCTGAAAAGATCAGACAGGTATACTGTCCATAAAACATGATATTTAAACTGTTCAAGTCATTACATGTAAGAGATAGTTTGTGGTATCTACATGACCTTTAAACCTCAATGTCTAGATTCTGATGTCAGAGCCGGGGAAGTTGAAACAGAAGATAAGTGTGTGGATGGAGGAGTACTGGAACATCACAGACCTGGCTGCCATTTGCACCTTCCTTTTCGCACTGATGCTACGCCTGCAGAATGAACCTTACCTGGGCTACGGCAGAGTCATCTACTGCATAGACATCATCTTCTGGTACATCCGTGTACTGGACATCTTTGGAGTCAATAAATACCTGGGACCCTATGTGATGATGATAGGGAAGATGGTAACTAGAAAAACTATCCTTGTTAATATCACATGACATCAGTGTTAGTATGTGTTCGAGTGTAGGGAAGTTAACAGAGTTTGAATGGTTGTGTGTTTCTTGTCTTCCAGATGATAGATATGTTGTACTTTGTGGTGATCATGCTGGTGGTGCTTATGAGCTTTGGAGTGGCTCGGCAGGCCATCCTTCACCCTGATGAGGAGCCGACATGGCGCCTGGCCAGAAACATCTTCTACATGCCCTACTGGATGATATACGGAGAGGTTTTTGCGGACTCGATAGACCGTAAGACTAGAATTCATAGTAAGGTTCTGTTTCCTGATTCTGGGCAGATGATCATTGTTACATTTACTTTTATGTCTTAAGTTATGTTATGTTTAGTGACAATGTACTACACCGTAAACCCTCAATACTTTGTCTCCCTCTGCTGGCATGTTTATTAAAAGAAATGTAATACATAGTACTCTGCATTGAGGACGTGCAGGATAGGTATTATTATCCATCTCCTCAAGCATGATCATCTGCCTTCAAGTTTTGTCAGCGAGAAGGCAATAACTAGCAGAAAACACTAAATTGGCAGGGTTATTAATTATAAAAACAGTAGTTTTCTAAATAAGTGGCTAATTAATCTGCCTGTTTAAATATTTTTTTTAAAAGCGGCCATATAAAAAGTACACCAATCATCTTAGTGTTTGATAAGTAGCATGTTGTTTTTTGATAATACTTGTCCTCTCTTTCATGGTTTTAAACTTGACCTTTAATTATGATAACAATGTTAACGCTTTCTCCATGTTTGTTTCCTAGTCTATGCTATGGAAATCAACCGTGAGTACTCTATAAGCCAAAAGTACAATTATAATCCATAAACTAAAGATATCAGAATACATTGTATGACTGTAACCTATTTTTCCCTGCAGCTCCATGTGGTGACCATTTATATGACGAGGATGGGAAGAAACTACCTCCATGTATCCCTGGTGCCTGGCTCACCCCTGCCCTCATGGCCTGTTATCTTCTGGTGGCAAACATTCTTCTGGTCAACTTGCTCATTGCAGTTTTCAAGTATGTATATGCCCCAATGTCTAACTGCTATATTATCTTAAATCTACTTTCACAGTGTGTACTCACTGCATTTGGTTTTCTGTTCCACAGCAACACTTTCTGCGAAATCAAGTCAATTTCCAACCAGGTGTGGAAGTTTCAGAGATATCAGCTGATCATGACGTTCCACGACCGCCCCATCATGCCGCCACCTCTCATCATCTTCAGCCACCTCTACATCCTCTTCAACAGGCTGTTTCGGCGGTTTTTTAAGAAGAAACAAGAGGGAGAGTTGGATGAAAAGGACCGCGGACTCAGTAAGTAGCCACTAATGATACTAAAAAACTATAGTGGTATAACTATTTAATATAGTCTCATTCTGGCTAAAAATAAATCCTATTGTAGCTCATAGACATACACTTGGAGAACAGTCATCATGACATCATGTAATCCTTTTCTTCCAGAGCTTAGGCTGAATCCAGAGGAGCTAAAATTTCTGTACGAGTTTGAAGAACAGTGTGTGGAGGAGTATTTCCGTGAGAAAGAGGACGAGCAGCAGTCCTCAACTGACGAACGTATCAAGGTTACTTCAGAAAGGTAAACACACTTCTCAAGTGAAGCTTTGATAATTTTGAGCATGTTGAATACAGTTTATACTGACATATGGTTTCGTTTCTCTGGTATTTTTTTTAGAGTTGAAAATATGTCCATGCGTCTAGAGGAGGTAAACGAGAGGGAGAACAACATGAAGGCCTCCCTGCAGACAGTGGATCTGCGCTTGGCACAGCTGGAGGAGATCCACGGACGAATGGCAGTCGCACTGGAAAAGCTTGCAGGGGTAGACAGACTGGAACTGACCAGAACCTACTCACGAAACTCCTCTGTGTGTGACCCCTCCTCCCTCCTTCGCCAGAGCAGTATTAACAGCGCTGATGGTTACAGTCTTTACCGCTTTCACATGGACTTGGAGGACTTGGCAGCAAAGCAGAAGGCAGATGAGACAACTAAAAGTGGTTTAGAGAGAGAAAAGAGTCTCCGGCTAGCCTCCGGTAGATGTTCTCTAAACAAAAATGAAGGTGGTCAGACCATAGAGGTTGCTGGTTTGGAGAGATCGGGTGTGGAAATTCTCATATCTCCCTGTAAACAAAAGCCTATTTCTGCAGCATCAAGTCATGAGATCTTATCCAATATAAGACAAGGCAAAACAGTGCTAGATAGCCTTATGCCTTCTTCCCCGCCAACAAGGACTAAGTCTTTGCGATACTATCCAGTTGATGACCAAGCCACCGCTCCTTTAACAAAGAGAAGGTCTATGAGCACCATCATCATCAGCCCGCCTGATGAACCTGTGGAAGCAGAGGAACTCACGAAGAAGCCCGAACTGCCGCCAAGAACATCCTCTTCACCAAAGAGGACAACATCTTTAAGATACTATCCAGTCGAAGACCAAGCCATCTCTCCTGTAACAAAGAGGAGGTCTATGAGCACCATCATCATCAGCCCGCCTGATGAACCTGTGGAAGCAGAGGAACTCACGAAGAAGCCCGAACTGCCGCCAAGGACATCCTCTTCACCAAAGAGGACAAAATCGTTGAGCTATACCCCTTCTGAAATCCAAAACCAGACTTCCCCTACCACAAAGAAGAGACCCATGAGCAGCATCGTCTACAACCCAGCGGATGCAAGTGTTGAAGTGGCGGACTACAGATCAGTAGTGGAGCAGGTCGCTCAAACACCAAATCGGTGGCCAGAAAACTTGGAGTACCAGGTGCACCCTAGCGCAGTTGGTCACATGCCTAAAGTTTCAACAGTGAGAACTATCGCCCAGCAGTTTAACAGTGGCACTGCACCTACAGAGCCTAAAAAAGAGGAAAGTCAGACGGATCTTGTTCCTTTAGAAAGTGATGGAGCTCTTCCAGCAGCAGAACAAACGACAGACCAAACTAAGATGAAGGCCAAGAGAATCCTCTCAGACACGACCGAGTATCTGACTGTAGCTGAGAGCTTTAATCTGGACGAGAGAGCAAAGGTGGTGGACAAGGAACCAAGAGCCTCCAGCAGCGAGAGAGACATCTTACAAGTCTGCACGGTGGTGGGGGGAGAGGAGGGCGGGATGATGGAGGCAGAGAAAAAAGAAGATGATGCACAGGAAAATAATTAATAGCCACAAAAAAAGGAGAAATGAAATACAGAATAGGGAATAAAAATAAGGAACTGCTGCTACCATTGAGCAAGGAAACATAGCATACCATTAACCGAAAAACAGTTATAGATTTCACAGAAAAGAAAATGAAAGTACATTTTTTTTAACAAATTCTGTTTGTTGACAGTGCAGAGTAGTGAAAACCAACAAAGCTCTTTTAAAGATCCACTTACTTTACTAACTTCCATTGGTGTAATGTACAATAGCTTACAACCCTTTACATTACAGTTTTAATCAGTCATTGTGTTTCCATATTTGATGTCTACACTTCCAGGTGAAAATAAATCAAGTTAGTTAGTCTGACATTATGACCCAATGTGAACATCAAAAACATGTATTTCCTAAGTACGATTGACACTTTAAATATGGTCTGTAAACATCTTCTGTCCAGATACTGTAAAATGTGCTTAATAATGATCCACTCAGGGGAATGCCTATAGCTTTCATGCAAATACTGACAGTGGCATAACATCATGTAGGTACATCTTCCAAGAAACAAACACCCTTTCAGTTTCATTTTGACACAAAAAACCTGTATACATAAAGGTTTCCTTAAAGACAGACGGTTATATATATAAACAATTGTCTTTTCTATCACAATACTGTGACTCCTTCAAAGGCGCATATGAAGAAATATAAATGTTGTCAGTGCAACAGGACAATATAGGCAGGTTTGAATACATACATTTACACAGACAAATACAATCAATGCGCAGACTCATTATGTCTATCTGAAAGCATCATCATAGTAAATATGACAATAGGTAGTATTTGTAAAACAATGCTACAAGTTAAGAAAGATTCAGATTTTTTTCTTTTTTTACTCCCATTTATAAAGACAACTATGCAGAATTGTATTCTATTTAATAAAATCTATTCAATGACATCCAACAGAAGTATTATAAAAGCCAACAGAGTCTCTGCCTCCTGTGAGCAGACACTGCATGGCCAGCTACTAACCAATGCTGATTATCACAAACAAGTCCTTTGCATGAGCGGATAAACCGTTTCAGGCCTCATTCCGGGTTGATCCTCATCTGGTCAGGAGCAGATCAGGATGGGATCTCAACATCATGAACCTGTGAGCTTCAGCTGGAAGTAAGGCTCTCTGAATATTACCAATGATGCCGCTGCTGCAAGGACGCCCGGGAGGCAGGAGCCCTCCAAAAACGGGAAAGTCACTTAAGAGCCAAGAACACCAGAGCCAGATCCTAGAGGAGTGAACACTTGAACAATTTTATCCTCTTTGACTTTTTCTCTGTGATCTTGACAGGCTTTCCAGATCCTCCGGCATTGTTGTCAGTCTAGCAAGGAGAGATATGAAAGCGGAGAAATAAAGTAAGGCTTCACATTAAGTGGAGCACCGATCAAAGGCATACGTTTATTTATGGCATTTATATTCATTTAAATCAAGCAAAACAACATTTTTATGAGTAACTCCAATAGTAATGTGATTTAACTGATGTTTAACATGTGATTTTCTTTAATAAAGGGCTAATGCTTTATGATAAATCTGCATTTTGTTTGAATGATTTCTATTCTTTGCATATTTTTAGGAGAATATAGACTCTAAACGAAATCAATTAAATACGTTTTGCCACCAAATAATTGCAGCAGTCCTCCTCTCCAGCTGCAGTTTTAAAAATCCACCTCAACGCTGACTGCATTGGCCTCTTAGCCTAGGAGGCAGGGCTAAAATAATTGCTACTGCTTGCAAAGCTTAATTCTTATATCACATTTTTAGAAGTAAGGGAAGTCCCTCCCATCCCCAGTGGACTTTACACCCTTTGCATCTATTATAAGAATCTCTTAATCACTTACGGTCTTTGAGCTCAGGTTATGTAATATGTCTCTTCCCATGCTATAAAAAGCCTAGAATGACAAAAACACAAAAACAGGTAAATGTACATATTTCTTTTTATTTGTGTTATGTTGTGCTTTCAGGGTTAAAACATGTTTCTTACCTCTTCTACATTCAGGCCAGACTTTGCACTGGTTTCCAAGAACTTAACTCCATAGTCAATAGCAAGCTAAGAGAGACAAACACACCATGTTAGGGTCACTGAAGAAAGCCCATAATTTTAACTTGCTCAAGATTGTTTGTTAGTAACAAGTGAAACTTACCTTTTCTCCTCTGTCTTTGGACACCTGTCTCCTGTCAGTCATGTCACACTTGTTGCCCAGGACCATCTTTTCCACATCAGACGAGGCATGCTGGAAGAAGTTAAAACAGTAATTTTGCAAGTCTTATATATGTCACTCTTGGAACACATTGTTAATATCATCAAGTTATTTCTACCAAATATAAAATCATGTTATGTTATTTGTTTTCAAATCTATACAAGTTTTGATTCAGAGCTCACCTCTTCAATATTTCTAATCCAGTTTTTTATGTTTTCAAAGGACTTCTCATTGCTGATGTCATAGACCAGCATAATGCCCTGTGAAGAAAAACAGTCCTCCTCACAAACAATTTCATAGATCTTGTGATATGCAAGATAAACCAATAGGAAGGAAGTGCAGGATAAGGAGCAGACTTACCATTGCTCCTCTGTAGTAAGCTGTTGTGATGGTGCGAAACCTCTCCTGTCCTGCAGTGTCCCTACAAAACATTAAGTTGTGCAAGTTGGTGTCACACTTGGATTTTTTTAAAGAAAAAACATATTCAAATTACACTTACCAAATTTGAAGCTTGACTCTTTTTCCGTCCAGCTCGATTGTTCTGATTTTGAAGTCTATTCCTGCATTTGAATAAACAAACAAAGACATAGTGGTATTTGCTGATGCTTACTGCATTGAATAGTTAGATGTCATCAAAAAACATGTTGCTAAGATGCACCAAAAACCAGGAACTTCTGCAATAAGCAGCTGCCCTTTCTGACCTTTAGTAACTTTTCTATTGACTGGTTATCCTATATCAGCAAAGGATGACATCATTCAAAATCACAGCAATACTAGCTGCTGCAGTATACTGAGTGTAAAGCTTTATGGATTTAACAATAGCCAATTATAACGATTCTGAATGGCACCAAAAAGAACTCACAATTCAATACGCTTCCCAATGGTCAAACATCATGACTACTATTGATATCATTAACCTCCCTGGCAGTGGTTCCTATGATCCATCAAGGACATGAGATCATTCAAATGTGTTTCTCAGTCCCATTGTCCTGCTCTTATGCAGTTACTTCCCCTTTAAACATTCTTGGTCTGTATAATATAAGGAAATAGGTTTTAATACGACTCTATATTGATCACCAGTAGTGCAGTGCAGTAAAGCCTTGTATTCTGTCAGTATGGGCAATAATTAAGTCAGATGTATCTTGAGGGGCGTTTTCAGCGGGGTACTCACCTATTGTAGATATGAAGGTGGTATTGAAGGAGTCCTCGCTGAACCTGAACAGCAGACATGTCTTGCCGACTCCGCTGTCTCCGATAAGCAAGAGTTTGAAGAGATAATCGTACGTTTTCGCCATTTAAACACACGATCCACTGCAACGTTTCGGTAATATTAGGCCGTATGATTCGGGATCCCCGTTTGGAAATCCTCAGCTGTCTCAGACACTGGCAGCAGCAGACCGGTGCCGACAAGTGTGACGTCACGTTCTACTTTGCATTGTGGTCTATGTAGTTTGCAAGAATAATGTGTGAGCCATGACTAAATGTAGTCTTCTTTTTTCTAAACAATCGCTATGCTTTTTAAATGGATAAAATACAAACATAAACAACACTTAATGGATTCACTTGTTTAATGTTAATGCTGTTCTAATGTTGTACGGTTGAATTTAAATTGGCCCATAGGACCTCTAATCAGAGACAGGAGCGTGGTATCCTTGTACCATTTGCATCTTAACATTACAATACAAAACAAAACAATTGCTTTTGGCCCGTTGCTCAGCATCACGTTTAATTTCGTCCCTACAAGGATAGGCGCCATTTGCACTGTGTAAAACTTGACACAAAGCTACCAAAGAAAAGAGGGACTGGAAAGACTAAGTGAAATAAAAATATTATAGCGACTAAGAGATGTTGTTGAAGACAATGCACTTGTTGAAACTTTCAGAGCAATTGAATACATGTTGTTGTATCCACAGAATACAAGGCTACCAAACAAAACTATGTGAAACACACACACACACAGAAAAATTAATAAATATAAATGTAAGTGAAAATAAATGTAGAAATAAATTGAAGATATATAATAATGTGTGTTCTGTATTATTCTCAATTTTTTTATTTCCATATTTATTTATTTGTTCTTGTATTTTTCTATTCCTGTATTTATTAAAAAAAAATAGTGTTCCCCCCTGTATTTATTTCCACATTTATGTAGCCTATTCCTGTTTATTTCCACATTCAATTATTTTTATTTTTTCAAATTGATTTATTCTTGTATTTTTTGTATTCCTGTATTTATTCCTGTATTTATGTATTTCTTATATATTTCATAATATGTCCTCCATACCGGTGTGCTTGTTGTGTGCGTAAAGGTACAATTTCACTAAAAAATCACATCACAGCAACACCTATAGTTGGCATTCATTGATTTAAAAACACATTGGTGGTCCAGAGGTCTATGCATTGAGTTTCCTGCAGGTGTTCCAGGTTCGACTCCCAGGGGAGGGACATCTTTTGTCTTCTTTTTTAAGTGAAATGTATCAATCTGGAGACAGTTAAATGAAACAGATGTAGCTGTCTCAATGTAATCTTAAACATATCAGTTGTACAGAGCAATTGGTGATTACCAGCCAAAGAAACAGCACCAAATAATACTACTACTACGACTACTAGTATTACTAGCACGTGACTGACACGCCGGGAGCAGGTGCCCGTACATCACGTCCCGCCGCGCTGTACACGGCGATGCGGCGAGGTTTGGCTGTAAACCATAAATGTATATATAAAGCTGTAAACCCACGATCAGAGCAGCGAGCAACCTTCACCCTTTTTCAGGGATAACTTTAGGGGAGGCATCTTTTAAAAGCACCACTTCAAGAGATGATGATCATTTGAAGAAAGTTACCCATACCATCAAACCTGATGCTATCTAAACAAACACTTTATTTTTGATAAAATTATAATATAGTTAGAAATGTAATTGGGTCATGAACAAGACAGTCTCTTTTTTTCCTTTGCATTTATAACACCTTACGTGTTAAAACGTTTCATTAAAAAGGCAATTCTCAAGTTTCTTAAGATACCCGTTTTAGCATTTCATCGATAGCGCAGATCTGGCAACCCAAGCTCTGCAACTGCACAGGTCCTCTTTCTGACCAACCAGCTCGCGTATGCACAGCGAAACGAGCATACACCATTGAAAATGCCTGTAAGTTATTAATTCCTTTAGTTAGAGTTACTATAGTGTGTTGTCAACTGTCGGTACATATGTCGAGTTCCCATCGCCATAGAATGCCGTTGTGTCCGCGGTCTGAAAGTTGTGTTGTTAGTGTGTAGCAGCAGCAGCACATGGCGAGAAAGTTAGCTAACAGCGTTAGCCCTGTCTGGAACGGGCAGCGACTAATTGCTGAAACGCAACAGTATCCGATGAGTGTTCTCGTTGCAGATTGATTTCGGTCCAGGAAATAATCTGTACCTGATTTTGTGTAACACAAGGCCAGTCGTACGGTTACCCCCAGCTGATTATAGTGTACAAAGTCAATTGAACAAAAACTACTTTTGAAGAACAACGACGTTATCGATGTTTAGTGTTATTCCAACATACATGATGTTTCGAAAATCTAAGTTAGTTTACATCTTGACCTTTGCCGTGATGTGTAGATTTAAAAACATAACAAAATGCGTAGCCTCCCTTGTTTTTCAAAGCAGTAGCATTACCTATACATATATGTAGTCAAATAAGCTTCACTGCTGTTATACTCACATATTTTACTAAACTTGGCTCAGGTCTAACTCCCTCAAAACTGTTGAAATGCATTTAACCTGGTTTGTATTTTTCACTCCAGCTTGCAAGAGACCTCCTCCACCCTACAATTGAACATGAGAGAAGACAACATAAAAAGAAAAGGCTGGTTCAGAGTCCCAACTCCTACTTTATGGACGTAAAGTGCCCAGGTATGTGTGTATATATATATATATATAATTATATATATATACTCATCAGATTTAAGTTCTCATCAACGTATGATAAATGCGTAAAGAATAATAAATGCAGAGTTTGTATGCCTTTTTTGTTTTATCATACATGGGGTTATTTCTCCAGTCATGTTTTTAACTGATTTAGCCATCTTCAATATCACATTTCAAGTAACATTTATGAAAAGCTCATCTGAGTGCATTTAAATCGCATTATTGTGTAATTAATCTAATCGTGTTTCTTTATAGGCTGCTACAAGATCACCACAGTGTTCAGCCATGCTCAGACAGTGGTACTCTGTGTGGGATGTGCAACAGTGCTTTGCCAGTCAAAAGGAGGAAAGGCCAGACTGACAGAAGGTAAAATATCCACATAAGTTGAATTATTGCGAGTCCTATAAAGTACTTTGTTAATTATGAAGTATCACCTTTTTCCATGTGTATATCTGTAAGTGGAAGGCAGTTTTAACTTATTTTAATTTGTGCTTTTCAGGTTGCTCTTTCAGGAGGAAGCAGCATTAAAAGGGGACACTTAGTCATGATTGCAATGAAACCATGCTGTTGATAAAGTCTATCTCCCCATTATGTAACAAAGTAACTGTGCATTCATTAACAGCAGGTCCTGTCACTATACAGATGTCCAACTTTTATGAAGAATTTGTAAACTAGCAAACATTTTATTCTGCAAGATGATTAATGTTACATTTCTATAAGCCAATAAAACACTCTGAAAACATGTTCAAGCATTCTGGGACTTTTATTGAGAAAAATGATGTTTGTCAAGACTGAAATTACCTTCATAGAAAGCATACAAGTAGTCTTTTCAGCTTTTGAAAAGAAAACATATGTACCATAGATTTCATTGGAAACATATGGGTATAAAACACAGATCTTAAATAGAGAACATACAAGACACTGACACCAAAATACCGTTTTGATAACTTGGGGAGCACAAACAAAACATGAAAGGAGTACTCCACTTGCATATTTGTGTCCCTTTAGTCACACAAAATGGCATTGGCAACTGTTTTAAACCTAATGTTACTTATTTCCATCACAATGTTTTTTGTGAAGACAGGACTTAAAAAAGAAAAAGGCTTTTTCACACAAAAAAAAATCCACATGCTCTACGACTTTTTTCTCTTCTCTTACAACTACTGCGTCTGACATTGCACCCCGTTTCCATTTCTGGGACCCTCTTCGTCTTCCTCATACGCTTCCCTACTGGCCCTTCTCTGTGATGACAAATCCGGCTCACTGAGTTCCACCTCCTCCATGTCATCAGTAATCATCACATCCTCTCTGGGAGGAAGCAGTCTTTCCAGCTGGAACATAAGATGCTCTGGAAGCCAGCCTTTCTCTGGAAACGCAACCTGTGGGATGCATAACAATTTGCTTAAATAAATGTTTTCTTTACAGAATAACAATTGGTTGATATCAAGATTTCGGTCAGTGGGACAATTTGGTGTTCAGTGTACCTTACCTGGAACTTAATGATGAGCTGCCCTTTTTCATAAGGCTCCTTGTAAATTGGCATGCCCTCATTCTGAACACATCTGATGTCATTATGCTTGATTACTTCACCTGTTGACAGAAACAAGATGTTTATTATATTTTAAGTACAAATATAGTCTACCAGAAAAGGCAACACTGTAGACGAGGTTGATTTCAGTCAATTACCTGGTAGTGCGCTGATGACGAGCGTTCTGTCGTCTAATGTTTGAATAGTCTTCTTGAAACCACACAGAGCCTCAGCTAGTTTGATATCCATCTTCATTATCAAATCCTCGTCTTTCCTCTGGAACAAGGGGTGATCCTTCTGATCCAGAACGATGATTACATCCCCCGGCTCCAGTCCAGGTTCCTGGTCCCCTTCTCCAGTGAATGTTATTTTCTGACCGTCCCTCATACCTGCACCAAACATTTATCTTAGGTTTAGTTTGGGTGGAAAGACACATTTGCACTAATACATACATTATTGCTATTATATATATATTATCAAATGTGGAAAACAACATACCTTTGTCAATGTGAACCTCAAGAACTTTCTTCTTGCGTTCTACTTTGCGTCCATTGCAGCTCTTACAGCGGTCCTTGGAGCTAAATTTCTCTCCCTGTCCCTGGCAGTCTGCGCACACGCTCTGGATCTGCTGAATCATGCCAGGCCCAATCTGTTGCACCTTGATTTGAACACCTCTTCCTTTGCAAATGGAGCACTTTTCCATTGCACCTTTCTTCCCACCATAGCCTGTAACAAACAGGACAATGTCATTAACTGAACATTTAATCACCATTTCATAAAAAATACAAAAAAGACAACACTGCGTACCTTCACATGAGTCACAAATGATGTTCTTTTGAAGTCCGAGCTTCCTTGTACTGCCATTGTACATCTCATCCAGTGTTACACTAAGTTGGTGGACGACATTCTTCCCTGCAGGAAAAGCAAATACATCCAAATTAAACAGTTATTGAGTTGTGGATGTTAAGGTTAGTTTATTGCCTCCCATGAGATATACCTGGAAGACATTTTCTGGGGGGGGTGTTGAGTTAGGACATCCCCATAATCTTCCATGCTATTTTAGCCAGATTGAATATTTGAGCTTTAAGCTTAAATGTAAGATGTTCAAAGCAGCTGGTACTACAAAAATGTAAGGAAATGGTGGTGCTTATGGATTCTTGTACAAAAGCTTTCAACATGAGTGTGCCTGCTGCTCACTTGTAGTAAGTGACCAGTGTGATGTCCTTGCCCGTGGATGACCACATAAATATCATCTCAAACTGATCTGGGATCTAACCCAATTTCTTCCGTTTCATGTTGAATGATGTGAAAATGATACCAAATTAGTCACCAAACATAATCCACTTCCTCAGTATAGCTGATGAAGTGGATTATGATATAGCTTGTGATTTTAAAAAAAGGATTTGTGTGGCATCAAAACAATCATAACAAATTAGCCAAGTAATTTGTATACGGCAGAAGGTTTATATATACAAACAGCTGCTAGGTTACTTTTATAAATATTACCTCTTCTCTCTCTCTGCATCCTCCCTCCACCTCCAAAGAACATGTTGAACATGTCCATTGGTGAAGTTCCTCCTCCCATGCCTCCTTCTTTGATTGCTTGTTCTCCTCCTTGGTCATACAAGGATCTCTTCTCTGGATTTGACAGCACTTCATACGCTTGAGATATAAGCTTGAACTGTAACAATCAACAACAAAAAATTAAGTTTTTGAAGCATCAGGCTCCCTTCAATCAAATCATCAATGTTTATTTATATAGCCCAATATCACAAATGTAACATTTGTCTCAGTGGACTTCACAGTTTGTACAGAATACCAGTATGACAACAATGCTCAATAGATATGTAAAGAAGTGATCATTCAAGTAAACATCTCAGAATCCAGAATCAAATATAGTAGTATACATTAGATCGTTTTGCTAATATAAGGTAATGCTGCCAATTGCCAATGTAAGGTCACGTTGCTATGGTTAACAGGGTGTATACAGTAGAGATTATATTAGTATTACTTGGTGTAACTGTTACATTATCATCACATTGTGATGCTAATGGCCTATGTGTGCAAATGGCAAGTATCCTAAATGTATCAGATCAAGTCCATCACCATTAGGAGCCTAAAAGTGTCATCTTAAAAGTACAATTAACAACCACCTTCATTTTATTTAAATTGCACAACCTACGGTGGCATTTGACCCCAGTTTCAGCAGGGCATCAGGGCATATCTCCCTGTTCCTAAACAGAAGAGCTGCGAGCTTACTCCAGAAAGTTCCCAGGGTCAATTCAACAAGGCGTACGGTTTAAAATTAGACAGCATTTGTTACTGTCCATAAAGGGCTGCAGGATATCTAGCTACATGCTACTAACTTACCTTCTCTCCTTCATTGGGGTTCTTGTCGGGATGGTATTTCAATGCGAGTTTTCTGTAGGCTTTTTTGAGTTCATCCTGCGAGGCTTCAGGGTTGACACCCAGTAACTCGTAGAAGCCGGTTTCGTGAACCATGGTTACAACCTAAATTTAAATAAGGCAGAAAACAAATCAGCATCCATCAAATACGAAGGGTGGCCTAAAACCATAAACCGTACGCTAGCTAACAACCGTGTTACTAAAAAACGAATGTCCCTACAGCATGTGATACACGACGTTACAAAAGAACCGGTAGCTTAAATACAGTAGCCTGAAACGGACAACGTGAGTAAGCGTGGAGTTAAATGACGATCAACCATACACAAGCTTAGCCTTTATTACATTAACATTGAATGAGAAAGCTAGCATTTATTAACCGTATAGCTAAGCAGTTTTTCAAAGCACCGTCTAGTGTAGGCCTACTTACTTGCTAGGAGATTTTTTACTATTTTAGCTTTAGTACGGGTTACGGTGAGGCTGGTGGAGGAAGATGGCTGGCTCTTCTTATAGTCGCTCGGCTCTGCGCTTTGGAACTTTCTGGAGAGCTGTGGAAGAGTGGCCGGAAGTGTCGTTGAGCTGCAGTCTAGAACAGACCAAAAGACCTGGGGGAGGGGTGCATGATCAGACTGACTGGTTCATCTAGGAACTTCACATTACCTTGTTTAATTAATGACAATGAAAATGAAGTTCGCCAAGCAATGTTGGAGAAAGTACTTCTAGGCTACAAATATAATAGCAGAAAAAGTAAAAATAATTCTTACTCATTCTGGGTTGGCTTTCTGTGTCCCCAATACGCCTCCTCAAAAGGTTGGTGTTATGGGCATACTATTTTTATTATTATAAATGTGGGCAATATTTCTATAATTTATTTAAGTTGAAGCATATTCCTACGTATTATTATCTGTGTTTAAATTGTACCTATGCAATATTGCCATGCAAAATATCTAACAGTAACCACGGCTGTCATATAATCTTAGTGGAGATAAAAGCACAATATTTGTTCATATTAGTATATATTATTTTTATTATGTCATGAAGTGGTGTTTATATAAGGTAATTTAACATCCAACTCTTTGTAGGAAAGAACCACAAAGTGACTACCATCAATATTTTTTATAATAACAATATTTTCAATTAAAACGTGAAAGAACAATGTGAAAAGGTGTCTGGTGATAGTGAACATACATAATCATTAGCTGAATCTGCTGCCCCCAGGTGGCCAGAATAAATAAGATATTCCATGTTTAAAGCTACATTAAACCAAAAATCAGGTTTAGTTTTATAAATACATTTATATTATTAATACACACCCAATCCTACATTTGCAACTCATTGCTGTAACTCACCTAATGAAAGTATATATTTTTCTATATGCAGTTCATGTTATCCATCCTGTAACTACTCAACTATAAGACACAAAGCCCAAACTTTGAAGTACTGCAATGGAATGTAAACAAACCAGTCTTTTAAAAATAAAAAATCGTTTTAAAATGTTCATCTTAAATTAAAGCCCTCTAGTTTGGAAGACAGCTTCTATTAATTAATAGTATTAATTAGCCTCAAGTGAAAATACTCAGGTAAGGTAGCCTACAAGTACCACTAAATTGTACTTAGATACAGTACCTGAGTAAATAAACTCAGTTTTTATGCCACAACTATAGGTGAGTGGCTGTATTGGTAGTTTGATACTTAACAAAAAAGTGCTACACTTCCGTCAAGTGACTATACTGTACATCAGAAGGGCTCAACATAAGGCAGCTCACATTAACCCAAGTGATCAATCTTTGGCATACTAAACTCAGATATTGGGTTATTATAATTCTCATCAGATATATATGTAACTTAGAATTGTTAGGATTTGGGTTTAACATGTCTGTGTGTAATTTATCATTATAATCATACTGTTTTACATATGAAAAGACTAAGCTCATTTAAATTCTGGACATGTTCTTGAGCCAACAGGTCCATGCAGTGCTCTCGAGGACTTTCTGATTTGTTCACAGCTAGTTAAAACTTCATGGGGCTTGCTGTTACCAGTTACTCTAAAGTCCTACCATTTAAGGGTGCACTTGTCCTGTAAGAAAACATTTTCTGTTTCATACCAGTCGATTTTGAAAAGGTTTTCCTTTCAGCAAAACAAGAGGCTAGATCCTAGAGGATTGCTTCACTACCAATATATCTACAACAGTATGGACCTTCCTGGTGAGGAGAAGGGAGAAGCTCAACTTGAAAACAGGTAAGCTATACAAAAATGACTTTATCTAGAGGAGGAAGAGATGCTAGTCTCTTTAGACAACACTACTTTTAAGTAGAAGTTAAATTGGCTGTAGGAGAAGTTCGGCAAGTTAAGGCTGAGTGAACCAGATTCATTAGTTAGCATTTGAAATGACTACATTACTAAATTGGAAGAGTGATGAAAGTTGTACTGGATTTCGTAATTTAACACCAGCTTTCAGTATCAACATCCTGTATACCTTGTATTAAAATTGATCGTTGCCAACACTTTATAGATATAGAAAAGGAATAGAGGCTTAAGGTCCAGATAGTCTCATTTAGAGACTTTTGTGAGTTGGGTTTTGTGAGTTTTAATGAGCGAGAGTAAATAAACTTGAGCTTGCATTGAAAATATTCTGTCAAACAAAACAATGGGGCTTCAGCTCTGGCAAAAGCCTGACATTGTGTGTGTTAAACAGCGCAGCTGAAAATTAGACCCATGTGATGACCGAGTGGCCCGATTGCTACAATGTGAGTGTGTATGAGCTGTTAGGCCCATCTTTTCTCTTTATTTTTTAGAGTTCAGGAGTCTATGGCACATGTGCAGATAGATGGTGAAGAACATGCCTCTGTAGGTAAGTTATGAGCACATGGGTCTGTTGAATTAGAGTATGTAAACTTGTTTTCCTCTTGGGAATAACTAGATTATATTTTTCTAATTTCCTTTGTCCCTCTTCTCAGGAAGGAAAAACCTAGAAGTTCAGTTTGCTTGCACACCACTTGCTCAAGCCAGTTCTCTTTGGACCACTGATGCTAAAGGCGCGGTGAGACTGAGAATAGAAGAAGGATGCCCAGAGGAACCGGTTACCGTTCACCAAATGTTTAAAGCCTCTGTTGAGAAATATGGAAACATGTATGCACTGGCCAGCAAGATGGACAACAAATGGGAAAAGATAACTTTCTCAGAGTATTATCAATTCTGCCGGAGAGCAGCCAAGAGCTTTATAAAGGTATGTTTTTTTTAAATAAAAACAACGCGTTGTGTGTAATACATACTAAATTATTTAAACTATTGAGTACTATCAATGGGCAGATTTTTTTTTAAAAGACAAAAATGTGTGCAGCTTGGTTTAGAACGATTCCATGGAGTGGCGATACTAGGATTCAATTCAGCAGAATGGTTCTTCTCTTCAGTCGGTACCATCATGGCGGGGTGAGAAAGACACAGCATCAACAGCTGACATGAATCAGCATAAACCCAAATATTCAGTGTCTTTGTTATTAATGCTGTTTTTATTATTTCAACTGCTCATTTTGCAATGTTACATCCGTTAACCTTTTTTTCTCCTGTGACTGATGAATATTTTTTATTTAGGGGGATAATGACAGGAATTTATGCAACTAACTCACCAGAAGCTTGCCAGTATGTTGCAAGTGACTCCAAAGCCAACATTATTGTGGTGGAAAACCAGAAGCAATTGGATAAAATCCTGCAGGTAATCCTGTCGCGTATATAATATATAAATGTTTTTCTCCACATACAGAACATACTGTAAATGTCTCCCTCTTTATACCTTAGATACGAGACAGGCTGCCCCATTTGAAAGCCATAGTGCAGTTCAGTGGAAACCCCCAGCAGAGGATCCCAAACCTTTACTCCGTAAGTCCTCTTGATTAAATGATCAAAGTGTCTGTTGAGCTCAGGCTGTGATGCTCTATGTTGCTGTTTTGGGGTAGTGGGAGGACTTCATGGATCTGGGTCTAGATGTTTCTGAGGAGCAGCTGGATGACATCATTGACAGCCAGAGAGCCAACCAATGCTGCATCCTGATCTACACATCTGGCACCACGGGCAAGCCCAAGGGAGTTATGCTCAGTCATGACAATGTAAGTTTACTATTCTTAGTCCGCACTTACTCAGAGTTACAGGAGACTAAATGTCTATCTTTATCTGTGATGTGTATTTAGATCACATGGACGGCCAATCATGCCAGCAGGGTGGGGGAGATGCAGCCAGCTGACACCCAACAGGAGTCACTGGTGAGCTACCTGCCTCTCAGCCACATCGCTGCTCAGATCTATGATATGTGGACGGGCATCCAGTGGGCTGAGCTGGTATACTTTGCACAGCCAGATGCCCTAAAGGTAAATACAATTGCTTAGATCACAGATATAATGGTTATAGACATAACAAACAAAGAACAGTGCACACTAACCCCTACCACAGACAGCACATCAGACAAAAAGGGGAAATAATTTAATAAGATTAAATAATTATAATATACACAATAAAGAGACATAATAAAACCTAAATAGACATTGAATGTAAATGTTAATGAATATTCTAGTAAATAAATAGGGAAAATATTAATTCAAGTACCATATTAGGTACATAAGATTAGGACTACAACTATCAAATGAGAGTCTTTCATCTGTAAGACTTTTAGTAAATTAAAGTTAATAGCTCCACTGTGGGTGCAACTACTAGTTTTCCCATATGCATTATTCTCCTTAATCAATCATGCAAACTACATTTTAGCTGTGCAAGAGACAAGCGGAATAATCTGGTCAATAATAAATGTCACTTGATTTGTGTGTTTTGTTTTAGCTCGGTTTGTCCCTTATTTGTTATAGGGAAGCCTGATAACAACTCTGCGAGAAGTTTGTCCTACATCTCACATGGGTGTCCCACGAGTATGGGAGAAAATGATGGAGAATATAAAACAGGCAATAAGTGAGTGTGGATATGTGAAAAAGAAACTGGTGACATGGGCAATGTCAGTCAGTCTGGAAGCTAATCAAAAGTGTACACAAACGTAAGTGCTGATGAAACTTGAATATTTTTGAAGAAGTAAACTGAGCCATCAAATGCAGAGATTATTCAATAATATTGACATTTTCTTATGCTTTGTTTTAGGGATGATGACAAACCTTTCCTGTTCACACTGGCCGACAGCCTTGTGCTTCAGAGGCTTAGGACTGAGCTGGGTCTGTCTTGCTGTCAGAAGTTCTTCTCAGGAGCAGCACCGATCAGTAGTGAAACGGTGCAGTTTTTCCTGGGCCTGAACATCAGGTTGTATGAGGCATATGGCATGAGTGAGAGCACAGGACCTCACTTTATGTCAGGTCCCAGAGCTTACAAACTACCAAGGTAATACAAAATCAAGGATCGGAAAAACTCTATGTATGGTTATGTGTTTTTAAAATCATACTAACATATTTTTTTCTCTGACTAAGCTGCGGGAAGGTGGTGCCTGGCTGTAGATACAAAATGGTCGACATAGACTCTGAGGGGACAGGGGAAATTTGCTTTTGGGGACGTAACATTTTCATGGGTTTCCTCAACATGGAAGACCAAACAAGAGAAGCATTAGACGAAGATGGATGGTTGCATTCTGGAGATTTGGGCAAGATTGACGAAGAGGGTTTCTTGTACATCACAGGGAGAATAAAAGGTAGAACAATCTCAGCAAATAAGGCTATATTAGGAAACTTGCTTGTGATAGGTCACTAGCTCACGTTCTGTACATTTCCCACATCTAAGTGCAAGTTGTTCTGCACAGAACATACGGCTCCATTATCCCTGTTATCCATGTAATGTCAGGGTGCCCTCTCTCTCCATTCAGAGCTGATCATCACAGCTGGAGGGGAGAACATTCCCCCTCTTTCCATAGAGGAAAAAGTGAAAAAGGAGCTACCTATCATCAGCAACACCATGCTCATTGGGGACAAGAGGAAGTTCTTGACAATGCTTTTAACACTCAAGGTATCTTATTAGATTAGCCATTAGTTATTATCCCGATGATGGTACGCTGTACTATATTATTGACATTACCAAGGTCAGGGTTATTGCAAATACACCAATTACAGACACAAACTAACACTAACTAGCACATTTCATCTAATGTTCTTCTGGTCAATCTCCATAGAGAGATATTTGTAACCCCAGCAATGTATTTCCATGTTCCAGTGTTGTAGCGATACAGAAACCATGGAGCCAACGGAGGAGCTGAGTGGTGAGGCTGTGCAGCTTTGCCGACAGCTGGGCAGCCAAGCAACCACGGTGTCTGACATCATCGAGGGGAAAGACAAAGAAGTGTACCGGACCATTCAAGAAGCGATCAACAGAGTAAACTCTACAGCCACCTCTAACGCCCAATGCATACAGAAGTGGGCTATCCTGAGAAAGGACTTCTCTGTTTCTGGAGGAGAGCTGGGTAAATTAAGCAGTACATGGATAGGTTGAAATGTTGTATAATAATAAATAGATTACACTTTCATATTTAAAGCAATTAAATTGTGAGAACAACTATTGCTCATTATAATTATTTCCACGTTTCAGGTCCCACAATGAAGCTCCGTCGCCCTGTTGTGTTGAAGATGTACCAGCAGGTCATAGAGAGCCTCTATCAAGAGTAGTGTCACGTTCTAAGAGAAATGACTGTGTAACTGTTAGTATAAAAATCACTTGCATATCTCATTATCCTTTTGGACATGCATGGCATTTAATTATATCTGTGTCTTGTGTTCAGAATGCATAAATAATACAGGAACAATTTACGTTTCTCTTTTACATTAAAGAAGTTACCAGATAAATAAATAGTGAATAATACTGAGAATTAAAAAAATTCACACAATTTTAATTCATTTTCTCATAGGCAGAAATATTTATTTTTGACTTATGTTCGACTCTGGTCTGCAATTACATCTTTTGATGCCTTTAAATCATAACAGTTACTTTCATGACAGGATCTTGTATTTTGTGTAAATACCATTTGGTTTTGAATATTAGATATTTGGTCCATAAAGACTGGTTTGAGTCCCCATATGGTCCTGTGTGTGCATGTGTGTATTTCAACTGTAACTGTATAACAACAGAGTGAAAACTGAATATCTTTATAATATATTAATAAAGTATATATTTTTCTTCTTCATATTCTTCCAACAGGAATCTTATTGATAGAGTCATCATCATAGCAGCTGAGATAGTCAAGTAATTGCATAACAATAAATAAAAGGTCTGGCAGTTCAGTTGTCATAGTGATATTTATGTTTCTTTAAACATTCATGATATTTGCAGCAGTATGACAGAAAATAAAAACTTAGTGCAAAACATCTGTTTCACGTAACAGAAGCCTGATTATATGTAAATTAATAAAAGCTTTAATCCATTTTTTTCACATTAGGAATGTAAGACACATAGTTGATTGTTTGACAAACATCTTCAGTGTTACTTAAGCGACCATGGACGTTACAAATTGCATCTTTTATGTCAAATAAAAGTGTCAATTACATTTGACAAGTGGCCAAATTAAGCCATTAAATAAACAATATCCACATATACACACAATTACAGTAACTGTTGTTCTTAAGACATTATTTTAGAGCTTGCAAAGTTAACAATAACACAATCAGGATCTTTAACTCCTGAGTGTTTTAAAAATACATAATATGGTTTAAATGTGCACATACACCGTAACATGGTGACATAAAGCGACCCTAATAATCAACCGTTGGTATTTTAAGGATCCTTTTAGTCCAGATCCAGCACTCGTTGACATATTGCTTCTGTGAATTCTGAGCACTTTGAGTTCCCTCCCAGGTCTTTTGTTAGAACCTTGAAGACGGATGAAAAATTCGTAATTAACAATCAAATAAAACCAGAACGGCATGTCTCAATTTCTTTAAAAGTAGATTACCTTTTTGTCTCGAATGATGTCAAAGCAGGCAGCTTCTATCTTGTTGGCGTGGCCATGCAGGCCCATGTGCCGCAGCATCATGACTGCACTGAGCAGCAGGGCGGTGGGGTTGGCCATGTCTTTTCCTGCTATGTCTGGGGCCGTTCCATGAACCTGACGGGAGAAATAAATCAGAAACATTCATTATGTTTGAGATTTGTATAAGCACCAGTGTGATATGCGTTGATGTGCTTGAATGAACTAACATCACATTATCTAATTTCTACTGTGCAACATGTGATGGAAGTGTGATGGAAGTGAAACTGAAGAAAAAAATAAATGAAGAATCTGACGAATGGAAATTTTAAAAACCGTACCGACTCAAATATGGCAACACCATTGGCCCCAATGTTCCCGCTAGGAGTCACTCCAAGACCTCCAATCAGTCCAGCACAAAGATCACTGTAATGGTAAACACATACACTTGCCTTTAGATGTATTATTGTACATACTTGGCTCTATGGTTTACCATGTAGAATATTTATTTACCTCAAGATGTCTCCATACAAATTTGGCATTACTAATACATCAAACTGTGTGGGATCCTGTACCATCTATAAGAACAAGTATTACAATGCCACTATTAATTAAACATGCTTTATATCCATCTAAGACAGTGTACATATTCAACGTTTTAATGACTAAATATATTGGGACTTACATTAAGACACACAGTATCCAAGTACATCTCTGTGAATTTCACATCTTTGTGCTTTTCAGCAGCCTCTCTGCATTTCCGCAGAAACAGCCCATCTGACATGCGCCTATAAAAATGACAAAAGAGGACAATAATTCAATTTAAGGAAATAGATTTTAAAATGACAAATGAGTTGAAGTACTTTGTACTAAATGTAACTTACATAATATTGGCCTTATGAACAGCAGTAACACTGGCCCTCTGATTATTTCTGGCATATTCAAAAGCATACTCTGCGATGCGTTGGCTGGCCTGCTCTGTAATGAGCTTAATGCTCTGTACAACTCCATCAACAATCTGAAAATACACAAATCCAAGAGATTTATGGTAATAATATGTGACAAAATAAATAAAAATTGATTTAATTGCTTAATATCATATGTGGTCTGTGCAAGCGAAAATAAACAAAACGTCAATAGAGCAAAACTGTGAACAATTTAACAGCTGGAAATGTAATGTTTTGTTTAGGGTCTTACCACATGTTCAATCCCACTGTATTCCCCCTCAGTGTTCTCTCTGATGGTGACCAGGTTCACATCAGTGTAGGGGGTCTTGTAGCCCTCGATGGACACACAGGGGCGGACATTGGCATAAAGGTCAAAGGTTTTCCTGAGCAGCAAGTTCATAGAGGGATGGCCTGCCGCTATTGGTGTCTTCAAAGGACCTGAAGAATAAAAGTAATTCAAAACAATGTACTGATTCAACTGCTAACACATCTAAAACTCATTTGAATTAAAAACCTTTTACTAACACAAGGTATATATTTATTAAAGTGGTCTTGTAGTAAATAAATATTGATAATTAACAATAATTAACAGACATTTACTTTTTATTGTAGTAAAATAAAGTTTGCTAATCAGGTTACCTTTTAGGCCAATTTTGTTTCTGTCCATGGATTCTTTGGCATCAGGAGGGATCATCCATTTACCACCAGGTCCTTTAATGGCTGTAACATTTCTCTCTTCCCACTGAATAGGTGCCTAGATTTAAAAAAGGGGTGTACAGCAAAATCACTTGATTAGTATACATGAAGCAGACTTTAATTGCTTTACTGATTGGATCAGATTGGTCTCTTAAGTATCGAGGCTGGAGTAATACAAAAGTTATCTGTTGCAACCTAAACGATAATTTAGCTGGATTATGTTGTTAGTGAAAAATACTGTTTGTGCTGCTCCTCCAGTACTAACTTTAGCTGCTTCAAATATCTTCATGACAGCAGAGGATATCTCTGGACCAATTCCATCACCGGGGATTAAAGTGACAGTGTGAATCTGTAGGGCAGAACAAAAAACACGTATCAGAAAATAATAATTATGCACAGTAGCAATAAGTAACATCACATTTTGTGTGTAGTTCTTCAGAACAAACACATACCCCACGCACATACGTCCTGGGTTGTGGAGTTTCTGTCCTCAAAGCTCCAACCACCCGCGACACCTGACAGGCACAAATAAAACAATTCCCCCCACACGTTTTTATTGACGTTGACAGCATATATAAAGTGTATATACACAGAGTCATATAAAGTGCTTTATTGTATATTTTCAAAAATAGTAAGAAAAAGCAACATTAAATAAAGTAAATTAGTAAAAACTAGTAAATTGAGCAAATCTTATTGAGAAAAGAGTGGTGAACATACCAGAATGGTGATGACCTGAGAATTAAGAACTTCTGTTTCATAGAATAGACTACTTGATCTGGATAACTGTTCACATGTAATACACTTTATGACCAAAACTGTTGAGATAGATAGATAGATAGATAGATAGATAGATAGATAGATAAAGCATGACATGGGAGCAATCTGCAAAGGCCATTCTGGAAGACGAGACTCAATCCAGTTCACATGTTAACATGTAAGCTGTGTTGAAAGGGTCATTTTATAAGTGTATCAGTGTAAATGACTATAAACCCAGTACCTTGCCTTTGCCGATGATACACAGCAACACCACAAGAGAAGGAGATGTAGATCACCAGTAGGAAAAGTGAATCAAGAGGTCACCTTTAGCACAACTGACATCTAACAGGCGCTCCGACTAGCAAAACATTAGGCCCATTCCAGATTTGAATAACAGTTTTATTGAGGGAAATTGCTAGCTAGCATTAGCTCTTTTCGAAATACGTTTGCTTAACTTACTTCCTGAGCCTCGATTTTATCCTTGCCATTGATGGACAAACCCCACTGTCTTAGTAGGTTAAAGATCTGTAGATAAGGGACATTACATTGATATTTCGTTTAAATTGAACAATGACCTATAAAATGAATCTTAAAACAGTGTATGATAGAATAAAACATGTAGGTTGCTGCTAGCTAAGCATTCCTTTTCGTTCAATACTACCTAACTAGCCATCTAGCACTAGAGTCAGGTTGCTATAGTAACTCCAAACAAGTAGCTTTAGCGCCTAACTAGGTGAACTGTCACTGGAATGCCGGAAGTCTTTCACTTTGTGAACGACAGTCAAATAAGCTAACGTTAGGTAGTTTATTATAATACAATGGCATGCCTTTGCTGCAACGATTAACATATTTCCCCGTACATACCGTTGACCTCCACGCTTTTCCTGCCATCCTTTACTAGCGAAGGTCGATGCAGCAGCGCCAGAAGCAGCTGTGAAGCTAACAACAGAACAAAGCGGATATCCGCTCTGAACCAATGTGTTTTTCAAAATAAACCCTTTAATACATTTAAATCCTTTTACATAATTCGTACTTTAAAAAAAACGTATTATTATTTTTGGAATAGCAACGTTCAGTTATAGACTATTTTTAATACATAATTTTATGTTTGCAAATTGCAAAAGAAAAGGTTGCCGTTACTCTTATTTTGGACATCTTCCGGGGATTGCACTGAGATGTAGGTGAATTTGTGTGTAGTGTATGGAGTAATACAGCTCAATTAATAAACGAAACTAAACTCAACCAGCTCAAACAATAAATGGTATCCCTTTCATTAACAGGCTAACGACATATTTTGGTGTGAACCATGGTCGTATAGTAGCACAGCACAGACAGTGGAAGGCCAGCAAGTGGCGCCAGTGGACTGCAACTGCGAGTCGACCTCACTAATATGCATGTTCTTTGGCTGTGGATGTGCAAGGTAGTGTATAGTATAGTTTCAGTGGTACAAAGTAAACAAGTACAAATGAAAGCTCTGAAGAACACGTTTTAAAACATTGTATTTTTTCCAGAAGTTGTTCGTACACATAATAAACGTTATGTTATAAAACAAATAGAAACAGCTGAAACATCATTCTATCACTTATTGCAAAAGTTCAACTTACAAGGAAAGCAAACAGCATGGGACACATTAACTCCCAACATTATCCAGCAATGCAATATGGATGAAGTTTATAGAAATTGTTAAGCAGCATTGCTCCTAGCATAAATGCAGGATACAACATGGTACAAAATGCACACTGTGCAAGTAAAGACATCTTTGAACCAAACTGAGAGTTGTCAGTATAGATAAAGGTTTTCAAACCACTTATGCGTATCGTTGATACTCAATGCATAGGATGAGATAGAATTTCAACAAATGCCTCACAATGCAAATACAAAGCATGTGTCTGATACTGATCAAGCATTTGGATAAAGCTTAGTAATTTGAAAAGCCTACAGTACAGCCATGGTACATCATACAACAAAAACGTAAATGTGTTCATATAGTCCAACTCAAATAGCATACTGCTTTGGCTGCTTCTTCAGGCTCATAGATCTTTCAGTTTGGGAAATAACATGAGAGGCTCTGTTGTTCAGGAGTCTGCATTCATGAAGTACATCTGTAGAAAAATAAATGAAGGTCAATTATGATATAGGATAACACACTGTCATTCTTGCACACTTAATGTAAATAATATCCCACTTTTATATTCTGTTAGCTGTAATTTAGCCCTTCAGTATTGTTTTATTTGTCAGATAGCTTACATATTTTTTCTTCACGGTCAACATTTATATTTTCACTCTATAGTTTGGTTTTATCATCTATTTTGAGATTTTCTTTTCTATTTTCTAGTCTTTTTTTATTTCTAATTATGTACAATACTTGTTTTAAATGCTACTGCAACGAAAACATTTCCCAATTTGGGATTAATAAAGTATATCTTATCTTATTAAACGGTGGACTGTAGATCAAATGAAATGAAAACATTTCTTAAAATTACAAAAAGGCCCTGCACAGAATCTCTTACCATTGAACTGTTTGTAGGCTTCTTCAATAATGGCATTGTTTGATCTTTTTAACTCCCAGTAATTATCCTCCACCCATGGTTTGCAATCAGTGTGTTCCACAAGCTGTCCATTCTTGTATGAACCAGCTTGAATAGAAAAAAACAAAAACAGTTCAGTCATATTTTACATGAACAAGAAAACTTAGTCAAGCAAGGAAGAAGACATGACTGCATCCTGAACATGTCATGGATGCCATTCATACATTGTGTACAACTAAACATAGTCTCAGATACAACTCACGATAAAAACACACACTAAATAGCTAATGTACCTTTGATGGTTTCATCAATGTCTTTACATAATTGGTACAGTTCACTGCCACGCCCAACCACTCTTTCCCCTACAAATTAAAAACAGGATAAAAAATGTAACATTAGTTTAAGAGTTAATGTTATGCAGGAGACTAAATGAAAACATTATATATACACATGTACCTTACCATCAAGCACCTTGATGTGGGGGAACATCTCAAGGACTATGTTTCTATATGCTGCGTTCCTGCACACTGTGCAGAGAGAAAGATATTGTGAGTTCACTTAACAAGATGTTCTATTAACCAGATTGTATAAAAGCAAATTCACACAAAATTACCTGGGTTAGTGTAATTGTAAGTGTTGTCTTTAAGACGTATACTTTCTAGCTTTCTCAACAGCTGAAGGCATTGTAGGTTCTCAATGCTGGTAAACAAAAAAAGAAACAGATGAGAGATGATTTTACAGGACTTATCCAGAATATTGCTCTTAAAAATATTATCGCAGCAAATATATTTAACATCAATGACATTAAATAGTTCTTATACTATGATATTAACATTGTGATCAATAACATATTGGCATTCTTATTCATTTAGAGTAAACATTTGGTCAATGGTCGTATAGTGATACCTGGATATGATATTACCAGCCAAGTTTAAGTTCTGTAAACCTTCACAATTGCGCAGGGGTTCTGAAAGTACCAAAGCAATAACATGCATTAAGAAATCTATTTCTATTCATGGCAGAAACTTCCATGATAAGTGAACAAACATACAGTATGCAAATAAAGAATAAATTGCTCCTGAAATCTTACCTAAATTGGAAATCCTGTTTGAAGACAAACAGAGTACAGAAAGAAGCCGGAGAGATGCTAGAGGAGCTACATTTGTTATGTTATTTCCAGAGAGGTCCAGTTTCTCTAAATTTAAACATTCTCCAATGCATCCAAGATCAACTATTCCTGTAAGACACACAGTTAGCATTATAAACTATGATGCATTTATGAAGGGGTTAAATAGTAGATGTTAATTACAACTTACCAAGACCTCTCAGTTTGAGAAACAGTATTGACTCCAAATCAAATTCTCCTGTACGCGACTTGAGCAGCCCAGGCGTTATCTTCTCACAGTCTGCATCTGGAAGAATCAGATAAATATGAGTGCAGAAAAACAAACCACGTCTTCTATTTTTACATAATGCAACACAATCACAGAGCAAGGATGTGTGAGTCAGGGATGCAAGAGCAGAATGCCGCAAGCACTGTGTCTGCTCTGTGTACGGTGGACCAATCAAACAACCCATGCAACCCTTCTAAAAAAAATACTAATTCAGGCAGACCTTGCATTTCATATCTCGCCGCACAATGAGCTTTTCGTCTGGCAGCTCTAGAGGGAAGGGGTCACACACAGACAGATGAGCTGTCCTCTGTGCTGTCTCTTATGGTATTAGCTCGCCCCAGTTGTCTGCATGAATAACAACTGAAGACGTTACATTTGGTTTAATTTCCTTAGGCGGATTTGGTCCCTCCATAAACATGAATACTCTTTCATGAGACTGCATGCATGAATGACTTATTCACATGACAAGAAAGATCAGACTAACCAAAAATAATGATGTTGGGGTCTTTTTTTTCCACATTACATCCTTTTAGATTGTAATCACCCCAAGTTGTATTTATACACATTGTAAAAGGAATGCCAGACAGGGTAGTATGACAAGACAACATGATGGGGGAAACAGTCATGGGTGGAATGAGTAGGGCCACCAAACACACATCTTGCATATGTCAACAGCTGCAATAATAAATAGGCTGATGATTTTTAGCTTAGCTTGACACCAGTAAATGTTGTTAGCTTGTGTTAGTAGCCATCTGTTTCTTAGCTCTGAGTCACCGGCTGCGTACTCTCATGAAGATGATTCAGCCGGATGAAAGTGGGTGGGTTATTAAATTAAATTCGAATTGTTATTTTTTTCCTCTGATGATGACACACGTAAAATGTTGTGTAACGAACGATACGTTGTTAGCTGGCTCTTAGCTGAAGCTGCAGCCAGCTAGCACAAGCTGCTAGTGGCTAGCGTAGCAACAAGCTATCCATGGCAACTTACCTTGGTCTTTATCTCGCTTAGAGTCCATCATGAGCAACTTTGCAAGATAACTTAACTATCGCAATAAGCGATGATTTTAACCAATGTGGTGGAAAGACAAGGTAGTGGTTGTTTTATGGAAATGTAAAACTGGCATCTGTCCTGAGGTGCAGTCAGGACACGCTCACTGTACTGCTTTGCTGCAATAATAGGAGGCAGGTGGATTAAAGCCTGCAGTCCAGCATAATGCAGAGCATTAGTCTAATGCACTGTGAGAGAGGGGAGATAAGGACGGGGCTGGAATATGTGTTACAGTATTTTTGTAGATGTTGTTTTCCGGGCAACAGGTTCTCAGGACTCAATTAAAAGTGTTGTTCTTGTTATAGTATTGCCGAAAAGTATGATCCATAGAGGTTTGTTGTGGTAAGGCTGAGTCAATTCTGAATGAAAAGCCAATTAAGTGGTGATTACATCAATATGATAAATAATAAATGAGCATGCAAAGTATTATCCAATCAGGGATTAAATAACCTACGAAAAGATGCATGTTTGGAAAGTGGGTTAATGGAAAGTATCTGGGGGTCAGAATCACACTTTCTTGGTGCGGGAGTTTGCACCTGTAGGCACAATTAGCCAGAGATGGGAATTACTACGTTTATTTAGGCTGATGAAGTAGCCTACTCATCAGTACAACATAGGCTACAATAAGGCGACTTGCATTCTGAGTAGTTACTTCATGTAACAACTTGATATTACTTAATGTTTCTATTCCATTTCATATCATGTGGAGATGTTATAATTTTTACATTATTTATGTGACATCCGAAGTAACCATACTTGGAAGAGTGAAAATCCGAATTGTATTGACAATTAGGTATACTTGTTCTGTGGTGCATACAATACACATATAAGAGGAAACAAAAACACAGAGAAAGAAGGCTACGCATTAAGGAACATTAATACCAAATAGAAATAGAAAAATACAATAAAAAAGGATACAACAAAATAGGCAACGTTAGCAAATGTTTAATATGATAATTTTGATGAGGGACTTCAGTTGAACATATTAT